CCCCTCCCGCTAGATCTGGCGGAGGGGAGGGTGTTGCCCGCCGCTACCGCCTCTCCTCCCGCCGCCGCTCGCTATGCCGCTGCCTCCGTCCCGCCACCGCACGCCATTGCATGCCACCGCCAAGAGACCGCGGTGGAGAAGGAGAGAGAGCCGAGAGAGAGAGGGTGTGAGCGTGAGAGGAGTGGGGGCGAGTGGATAAGGACGCCCCCTCACCACCCACTCAGCGTTTTATCCTCCCTCCCCATGCGATAAAAAAAACTGGCCATCTCTCAGCTTGGCTCGGCTCGTTTGATAGGGTATCGGTATTTAATTAACCGACACCTATAATATATTAAATATAGTTGTTTTTTTAAAAAAAAATGGGCACCTAAAGTATTGATGGTTGTTCTTTTATAGAACCGTCACCTATAGTGTATTAAAGGTGCCGGTTTTTTTTTTCATCTTTTGAAGGGGGAAAAGCACTATATGTGACGGTTTTTGCTGTTCCGGCACCTATAGTGCCAACTTGTATGTGCCTCTTTTTTAAGTAGTGTGCATATTTTGCCACTGTTTATAACCCTGACATCAATTATAGCCAAATACGGAGTTAAATCCGGCTAAGTAGGTTTCACCATAAATAGCTTAACGAATTAAGTTATGCTAAGTTCACGAAGAAAACTGTATTTTAGTATTTGGAAGGAAGTATGGCCATTGTAGTGGCCGAAGGGTGGGCTGTTCCCTAGGGGTTTTGGTAACTGATTATCAATCTCAATACTGTAGGGTCTATTTGGCACTCTAGAGTCCAACCAAACAGTTTCAACTCCACAGTGTTATCACAAAATGAACTAGAGAGGTGGAACTAGGTTTAGGCTAGGCTGCTCCACAACAGCTCTAACTTTAGGAGTTAGAGCTCTACCAAACAGACTCGTACTATCTTGTTCTCCCGCTCTGGTGAACAAAATTGGGGTCAATATTTCATTATTGGCTCAACTAAACTATCATCAATCAGGCAATATACTAATTTATATTGTTATGAAACTTCCAATATCTTTTATAAGTATTTGTATTGTATATTCAGGAGTAGAAATTGGTGGGAGCATTAATTTGGGAGTTAAAATCATGTTTGGTTTATATTATTGATTTGCTTGTAAGGATAAATTAAATATTTTAAGTATACAGTAGAATAAAATTTTTTGAGAAAGCATTTTTTTTAAAGCATGGAGCAAATAATCTGAAGAAAAAGTTGAAATAACAAGGAGATTGGTAGGGCCTCCTGTCTACCCCTTTTCAAATGTAGGTTTTTTTATGTTTTTTTTCCTCTTCTCTAAATATAGGTTGTTATGGAACTTCAAAGCATTTGTCTCCCACCTTTTCTTAATTTGCCCTTATTAATTATAAATGTTACCACCCTCATCACCTCATGTATAAATGATATGTATTATTTCCAATATGCAATACCTACATATCATTTTAACCACTTTATTCATGTACATAACTCTAAAATGACATTCATTTGGAGAGGTAGTCGACAGCATCTGACATTTGCATATGTCCCGGACTTGCATTTTGGCACGCATAACTGTTGGGCTTGGGCTTTCTATCTTATAATAAGCTCACACAAAAGGCCCAGACCAACATGGGTTAAGAATTTCTTAAAAAAAACATGGGCTCAGAAGATTGAAAAGCTAACAAGTTCACCGGAGGTCCCTCAACTTAACGTCGAATATTTTTAGGTCCCTTAACCACAAAATCAGATATGTGTACCCCTAAACTCGCACAAACCGTTCAAAGGAGGTCCCATGGCAATATCGACTCATTTTTTGCCCGATTTTGCTGACGTGGTGCACTGTGGGCCCTACATGTCAGGGCGCCGTTGAGGCGTTAATAGACGGGGTTATCTTGGCACGACATTTTCCCCTTCTCCCTCTCAGCTCAAACCCTAGCTTAGGGCAGTGGCGGCGGCGAGAATTGGAGTTATAGCTAGGCGATGGCGAGGTCTTGTAGTAAACGATCGTCGGGTTCGTCACATCCCACCAATCGTGCTCCCAATCCGCTGTGAGTTGGGCAATTCGATTATCAGCCAGCGGTGATGTGCCGGTGTGGTGCAAAAGCGGCGCAGTGGATCTCCTGGAGCATGGACAACCCAGGCCGGTGGTACTACAGATGCAACAATCAGTTGAGTGTTTGCGATTTGTTTTGATTGTTTTTTTTTTGTTGGACCTAGCACATTGGTTGGGTGATTTTGTATGTCAAGTTTTCAGGGCGCCGGTTGCAATCTTTTTGGGTGGTATGACCCCCAACAAGCAGCTTTTTGAGGGAGTTGTTGAATGATCTTCCTGAAGCCGTGTTGTCGCTAAGAAGGGAGAAGGCTGAGTTAGAGCGTGCTGTTGAAGAACTGAGGCCAAAGGAAGAAGAGCAGTGCACAGAGCTGAGTGCAGCAATAAATCAAGTGGCAAATTTGAGGCTTGTGGCATCGGAGAATGATGCAAAAATGGCTGCTATGAGGGCAATTAACAGTAGGATAGAGAAACAGAGATTTGTGCTTGTAATGTTATTGCTGGCATGTGTGTTTGTGATGTTGGTTGTGTTACTAGTTCAGACGTGAGGTGCAATATGTTTTTTTTAATTACATAGTACAACGCAGACACTCACCCCTGTGAACGCATGCACGCAAACCCTACCCCTATGAGCATCTTCAAAGACTGGGCCGGCAAATCCTTGAGATTGACGAAATCACTACAAGCGCCTCACTGTCGACAGTACATCGCCCACCACTGAAGCACAATGCCGTTAAATCCTAGAACATTCGCTCTCATGGGGAATCGAACCCAGGACCTAAGGTGCTATTGAGGCTCTTGTAACCACTAGGCTATAGTCCCTTTCGCATGAGGTGCACTATGTTAGCACCAATTAGGTCACAATGGTGGTTGTTCTAGTCCTATTGCTGCCATTTGTGTTAGGTGTTAGTTAATAACTTGATGTGTACAACAACTGAGCTGTAATATTCTGAATTATCAATGAATACATCTAAGATGCAATATGGTTGTCTGGAATTTGAGTGAATGCAGCTATGGCTGTCTGAAATTTCAGTAATTCCAGTGAATTTCGATGAAGATAGCTCACATTGCACATTGCACAATATTTTCATATTACAAACATGATATAGCTCACAAACATAAGATACCAAATAGAACATTTTGAAATTTCAGCTTAGATCAGGTCAACATATCAGATCATACAAATTCACAAACATAATATCAGCTCAGATCATCACAATGCACATAACTTCAACATTTTTACATGCCATCTCAGATCAGATCAGTACAAGCCACATAATTTCAGCAAATTGAAACATAGCTCAAATCAAATTATCAAATGTCACTCAGTTCAAATGATAACACTCCACATAGTTTTGACACACAAAATACACACACAGACACCACATGTTTCAAGATGATCTGATTTAGATCATAGCATATCTTAGAGCAGTTGGCTTAGAGTCTGCCAAAGCAACAACTAATATATGCCTAAGAGTTTTGGCACACAAAATACACAAATTTTGACAATTTGACCCTTTGCAAAAACTATTTTTACAAATGAACTGCTGCTAAAACTTATTTCAAATCTGACCCTTTGCTCAACGCCAAATCGTGTGGCACTGAACTTAGACAGCTCAGCGCCAACTAGCATGGCACTGAATGTACGTTGGCACGCTGACTTAGTCTCACATCCTCCGTGGCACGGCATTCAGCGCCAGCTGACGTGGCGCTGAGGTGTCTAAGTTCAGCGCCATATGATTTGGCGTTGAGCAAAAGGGTCAGATTTGAAATAAGTTTTGGCAACGGTTCATTTGTAAAAATAGTTTTTGCAAAGGGTCAAACTGTCAAAATTTGTGCACAAAATAGATAGACAATGCATTACAACATAAACACTTATGCCATCACAGCTTATCAGTTTCTCATGGGGGAATGAGCATCAGTGGACTAGATGGTGTTACCACCCTCGTCACCTCATGTATAAATGATATGTATTATTTCCAATATGCAATACCTACATATCATTTTAACCACTTTATTCATGTACATAACTCTAAAATGACATACATTTGTAGAGGTAGTCGACAGCATCTGACATTTGCATGTCACGGACTTGCATTTTGGCACGCATAACTGTTGGGCTTGGGCCTTCTATCTTATAATAAGCTCACACAAAAGGCCCAGACCAGCATGGGCTAAGAGTTTCTTTAAAAAAAACATGCGCTAAGAAGATTGAAAAGCAAACACTGTATTGACCAAAACTTGGAATTACATGAAATTATCGGGAACCAGAGGGCCAGAGGCCCCTATGGCTCAGTACATATGTAAGGCAGCCCATGGGAAGATATTGTGCGCACTCTCTCCATGAAGAAATTAACAGCCCAATGTTGGCCCACTAAATATTCTACTACCTCTGTCCCAAAATAAGTGTAGCCATGGGTACCCATGTCCGATGTTTGACTATCCGTTTTATTTAAAATTTTATGAAAAAATTAAAAAGAATTAATCACACATAAAGTACTATTCATGTTTTATCATTTAATAACAATAAAAATACTAATCATAAAAAAATTTCAAATAAGACGAACAGTCAAACGTTAAACATGCACGGTACCAAGTTGCACTTATTTTGAGACGGAGGAAGTATATTTTAACTCTTTCCTTTCAGACGACTATAACTACTGTGATTAAAAAAAAACACTTGACCGACGCGAGAATGGACGTCCCCATGGTTTTTCATTAAGAATAAGCCTCAACACCCGGACTCACCACCTATGGATCAATTCTTAACCGTTACTTTGAGGCCCTTGCTTCCAACACGAGGACTCACCCTATATAGGTCGAATCTTAACACATGTTTTTATGTGGGATCAGAGAGAGAGATTTTTTTTTAACTAGGTCTGAAATTCACCAAGGAACCCAGGAAAAAAAGTGATGCTTAAGTGCTCTTGTGGCAAAGCTCACCAAGTATATTAACATAAAATGTATATGCATTTTGGAGCAATTTTTTTTATAAGTAAAATACAAACACAGGCGCTCACAATGCGCTCACACTCATTCCTATGAATACACACGCACACTCTACCTCTATGAAGTCCTCATAGAATCATTTGTGACTCTGGTACAACTAAGATAGTCTCTGGTTTCTGTTTCTGTAACTGTAGTTCTGTTCCATATGGTTTTACTGAAATCAACCAACATGTTATGTTAGTGAAGGCTGTATTTGTATCAATTAGAGATCGGCCAGAGATTAATTGGCATGAAAAATATTCTTGCAAAACCAGGACACATATATGCAATATGTAGAACATTAATGTTTGCCAACACATACATATTTGTATACTAAAATCTGTATATATACAAACACAACCATGGGCGTCATCATCAGAGGGAAAAAAGGTTACGTTCAGTTTATACCATCGAAGTTTAATTTTCTCATCCTTCGCCATCTAACCAATGCATGCAGGGATATGCATATATATATATATATATATATATATATATATATATATATATATATATATATATAAACATTGTATTGTTAATGGCTTTTGGGAGGAGAATATGGTTGTTACAGCACTGATCAGCTGGAGTGTTTCACTGAACAGGCCACTACTTGAGCCCAGTGCCTAAGCCTTGTCTTCACAAGCTGAGGGTTGTCACCTGTTAAGTTGCATGCATCACAATTTCACATCATCTTAGCAGACAAAAACAGTGACATAAATTAACACAAATAGAATCAATATTCCAAGAGAAAGGGGATAAATATTGTTCTTTTTTTTCTTTACCTGGACTGCAAATCTTCCACGAGTCCATGAAAGAAGAAGGTGCGACGGGGCTACCCGGGTTCGATGTGCCACCGAGGGTAGAGGAGGACGACGTCGCTGATGTCGGTGATGGCAAGGAGCTAGTGGACAAACGCATCTTGGGCTCCGAGAGCTGCCGGTTGACGGCGAAGTAGAGGTCGAGGGCAGGGAGCGTGTCACAGAGGTTCTGCCCACCATTCTCCTCGTCGAATCCAAAGCCAAGCTCCATGGATCCCCTCAGCTCATCGAGGTCTCCATCGGTCAGCCTCTTGGGCACCCGCTCGGTGCTGGAGCCCATTTCGCTGTCAGTGGTGGCGGCGAACATGTTGGCACTCGCTTCTTCCTCAACATCCTGAAGGGCCATGCTGCTCCTCTGCCGGTGTATCTGCCTGCGCCGCTTCTCCCACTTGACCTCCCGGGTTGTCTCCTTCATGGACAGCTGCTTGGACAGTATCCTCTTCTTGCCACTGCTGCTGGTGGCGACCTGCTGGAGCATCCTCGTCGTCGCCAGCGCCTGACCAGCCATGATGACCTCACCTTGCTCCCTCTCGATGTAGAGCGACAACGGCGGTGGGCGTGGAACACCTCGCCGGTGCTCCTTGCCGCTGCTTGCCATGGCTTCTGTGATTGTTATATTCCTCTATCACGATCTAATTAATGTTTTTGTCAATGGTGTGTGTTGGCTCAAGCGTCCCGCCGTTTGCCTTTCCTCCTCGGAAGGATCCTTCCTGGTGCGATAGATATCGCAGCAGCTGTCGTGCCACGACTTACGACAGCTGCTGCAGGAGGAAGGAGAAGGAAATGGCAGGGCAAAGAGGGGACAGGGAGATGATGTCCTCTAATACCAAGGGGAGGAAGGAGGAAGATCAACCCCAAAAATAGGAGACCCACAAGCTGTGCCATGCATGGATCATGCCGGATGGTTAATTAGGTTAATCCTAACCAAGAGAAATCCCTGCCACACATGGCGGAGATACTTAAATTAGGTAAAAGCCAATATCGGCACCAACCCTGGTATTGTCAATTAAGGAAAAGGGAAGTTCAGGACTTGAGTGTTGAATAACCTATGATCACCAACCATCTGCAGTGGCTGCGGAAGGGGAAAAAATGAGGCATGGACGAGTGCCAAAGTGCATGCACGGGATCACAAATAGCGTCGACAATTATAATCTGCAAAAGGAGCAGCAGAACAATATGCACTTGCAGAAATGATTGTCTGAATCTTATCCCTTTTTAAAAAGAGAAATGTGAAAATCTTATTGACTTGAGCGAACCTGAATAATAGTTTCACTTCACGCAATCAGGGTAAAACAAAACCAATACAAGAAGACGCGACTGACTATGAACAGAACAATATCGTCAGGCCAACTGCAGACTTTTGGCTCTCATCTTTAACAGATAGTGGTGGATTTGTTTCCTGTCAATCACTCAAAAGGTTCATACCACTAATAATTTGAAGAACAATATCGAGTAATTTCCGCTGTCAATCAAAAGAAACTGTCTATTAATGACCAACAAATCATTTCATTATTCTGGTCCCTTCCAAGTTCCGACTAGGGTGCTAGGCTGCTGGCAAACATCAATTCTTAAGTTCTAATTTGTGGTCTACCTATCAGCACAGTTTAAACAACACGTAGTACCACCTATCGTTTCAGCCTTCCAAGGCATTCTCAACAAAAGTCACAGGAGAATACAGGAATATAAAAAACACAAGGATTGAGATGTCACACGATGGTGAATCATACAGGAAGTAATACTACAGGAATCGTTTAAAACATGTGTTTGGATGTATCATAGGAAAACCATAGGAGATTTAAGATTATATATTGATTTGTTGGAGATAAAATGAATTGAAAATCTCAAAGGAATTTGAAACTAGAGGTTAGACCTGATGCTAAAATTCCTCCAAGAAGTGGAGGAAACTTTCCTATCCTATGTAGTAAATTTCCTTTAAAGCAATCCTATAAACCAAATGACTTATATAGGAATTACTCCAAAGGAACCCTAAACATGTTACACTGTCGCAGAGCGAATCTGAAAGCTGAAATGAACTCCTCACCAAGCAATTTGACAGTACAAATGAATATGGGAAAAAAATTGGAGGAAAAAAAATCCACGTACCCTGCATGTTCGATTGATGGTGCAGGAGTGGCTCTGCCGGCTCGGCTGCCGTCTTCCTGTGGTGGGCAGTGCGCCTCCGCCGCGCCGCCCCCACGCCACCCCGTCGGCTGCCGCCTGCTCCAGGTGCGGCACCAGGCGCTGCCCCCCACGCCTCCGCGCACCCATGCGGGGCCTCCCCGGCGCCGCAGCGCGTGTCCCACCTCCGGTCGCCGACACGACGGCTCGCCGGGACGCCGGCAGCAGCCTGCGGCAAGGCGGCCATCCGCTAACCGAGTCGCCGCCGCTCGACACGCGCTGCTCTGGTTGCTCTCTTCTTCCCTCCGGGCCCCGGCTCACTGGAACGGAGCGGGCCGGGCCAGCCACAGCCCACGGGCCCAGTAGCCAGCTCCTACGTGGCTCCGTTCCATATGCTTCTGAGACACTATGGGCCGGTTTTGGTTTGAGGCCTAAATTGGCCTTACCAGTATTTGGCAATTTTAATAGGGGACCACCTATACATTTGTTGATAAATTTTCTACTAAAAATTTGACAGATGTAATTATAGTACAATCGTAGTGTAATTACACTGAAACTTGTATGTAATTACACTGTAACTTGCATGTAACTACAGTGTAACTTGTATGTAAGTTTCACGTAATTTTGAATCGTTAGATCTATTGCAAGATTTGTTCTGGTGAGAAAGAAAAAAATCACAGCACACACATATGTGAAAGAAGTTCCCACAACCTCTATTTTACTGAAATAACATGTTACCGAGAGATTCTTGAAAGTTACATACAAATTTCATTATAGTTACAGTGTAATTGCATGCAAGTTACAGTGTAATTACACTACGATTGTACTGTAATTACATCTGACAAATTTTTGGAGGAAAATTTGTCGACAAATATATAGCAAATTCGTTTTAACAGTGTGTAGTGTCTATTTGGTTTGAAACCAAATTTTGACATGCCTAAGAAAATAGGCCATTTCAATAATTAACTTGGGCTATTTTGGCTTCAATCCAAACACAACTTTGCCTAGCCAAAATTTGGCATCGACAAAAATTGGTAAGGCCAATTTAGGTCACAAACCAAACCAGGTGTCAAAATCTACGCGAATTTTCGCACTACTAATGCTGTTCCCTCTATAAGGCGCGGTTAAAGTTAAAATGGTCTACAAAACTAATCTTTAGTTCATAATATCTTATATATTATAAGGTTTGTAGCAACAAAATTATAGCCATATACAAGTAAATTTAAATATCAATCCAATGATATAATTTTTAATAAATAAAATTCATTCCATATTATACTATGTATGGGTCAAATGTTTTACACGTTGAATCTTGAAATACGGGCGCGTCTTATATTATAGGAGGGAGGAAATAATTCTTTGGTAGGTAGAGTAATCTGATATTCTAGAGCCGACGGGTTTTCATGCAAATTTACGCAGCACGGCGCACTATACATTAGATGACGGGTGTAGTCCTAGGCCCTCCACTCCCCTTCGTGGCTTCGTAGTAGTAGCACAACTCGAGTTGGGGTGCCCCTAATGAGTGATTTGCACGGGAGCGTGGGCGCGTGACCAGTCCACTCCTCCTGCAACTACTGCTCTACCACTACTCCTACTCCTACTACTGCTACTACCACTGTTGCGCGCCGCTACTACTGTAGTAGTAGCAACAGCAATACTACTACGACAATACTACTACGTTTCAGGGTTATGGATACCACATATCTAATAGTAGTTGACTAAATCTCGGCAGGACCTACCACATACCATGTCCTATACGGAAACAACCTACGGATGTAGGAGGAGTTCCGGATAAGGAAATACAACCAGATTTCTATATGGAAACGACAAGGACTACTCGGATTGTATCCATATTGGTTTCCCTAGTTCTACTTGGACAAGGGGACACTTATGGGTATAAATACAAGGCCCCCTAGGAGGAGAGGGGAGACAGACAATCAACACACACCCACCATAGAAGAGACAATCAACATACACGGAACAACAGAGGCCACAACATACAAGTCAACATACGCCAAGACAAGCCGCCAGATATCGACATCAGGGATAAGCACGGCTAGTCCCTTACGGTGTCTCCGGATACTGTCAGGAGAGACATAGCGTTGTCTCTGATCTCGCCGGGCACGAACTCGAGGAGGAAGGCTACCCTATTGTCGACTACGAGTCAGACCTTCAGACCGCCATGTCGACAACAGTTAGATAGGCTACCCCAAATATTGTACTGGTATGATTATGATGAATAAGAGCAACGACTGGCTTTGGCCAACAGGATGTAGGGTTATTACCTGACAATTCAGGGGTCCGAACCTGTATAAAAATCCTGTCTCCGTCTCTTTTACCTCAGTCTCGCATATATCCTAGTACCAACGATCCCCATACTATGCAAATACCAGAATCGCGACATCAAACGTCAACAATGGCGCGCTAGGTAGGGGGATTTGGTGCTTCAGGGTTTCGACGAGATGGGTTTAAGAGATGGATTCTCCAACAACAAGCTACTTGACAACTTCGGTTATGGGGAGATCTAACCCGACCGGAGTATGTCGTCCAACAAGATCGGAACCATCGTCGTCGAATATTCGATCCGGCGAGATCGACCAAGCTTCATCAAGTCATCGCCACCGTGGAGAATCTTCAGTATCGGCAGCTTCCAAAACCGATCCAATATCAATTCCTCCTCGTGCACGACATCAATTGGTGTGAGTTATTGGCTGGCTGCGCACAGGCCGGACACGACGCCGATTCCCACCAACCAATATACCTCGATGCATGCCGCGCGAAATTCTCCGAGAATAGGCGCCACTGCGTCGCCAACTTGCCGTGTGCTAGCCGGAATTGGTCAACCAAGCGTGCTTGCCTAACCATGCCACGTACACATGCCTAGACACATGTATGCATGCGACAGGTGGCATTGCTCTTCCAAGACAGCAAGATATTGACGTCCAGGTCTACTGCATGCATACTTATATCTTCTATTGATAGTATGTCGGGCATGCAAATCAAGGTATATAGTAGATTGATTTTTTAAATTAATCTACTAATCCCGTAGATACATCCGGCATGTATCTATAAAGGTACGCAATATTTTATACACAATTTACCGTACCTATTTTCAGATGTTGTCAGATCAATAATTTATTATGTTTACCTAGAGCATGTTTTTTATACAATATTTGTTGCGCGGGTGTCCCCGATGTTAAATTGACTACGGTCTAACGCTGGGGGCTCGCTCTATTTTCTTCTGTATAAATCATGCTTGTTTATGGTCTACATAATGCCTGATATTTATATCTGCTCGTTATATCCTGATAATGCTAGAAGATCCATGCAGTTTGTTGAGTACATACTCGATATTCTCTGCTATATGTCTTGCCTTCTAGAAAATATTCTTCAGGAACAATTGAGCACCCGAGTAGGTTGTCGTCGAGTACACCGCATTATCGAGAACGATCTCGACAAATGCAGAGTCGTCGCGCCCAACCTACCAACGAAGACCGACGACCTACCTCATAGCATCGGCCATGGCTGGACTACTCGAGAAAAGATTGTTAACGGATAATTCCTCGCGAACACCGTCGGCTTGATCACCCGACATGATTGCGAATGGACATCCGGATATGCTATAAGTTGGGTGCGTGAGTCATGCTGGCCACATGAGACGCACATGTAATAAACCAACTCTAGCACCTCCATTGGTGTTCGAAAGATAATTCTACACGTTCACTGGTCCTCGAACCAGTACGTAGCAATCTCTCGCACCGCAACTTCCATTGGTGTTCGAGAAATAATTCTACTTGTTCGCTGGTCCCCAAACCAGTACGTAGCAATCTCTCGCACCGCAACCTCCATTGGTGTTCGAGAGATGATTCTACACGTTCGCTGGTCCTCAAACCAGTACGTAGCAATCCCTCGCACCGCAACCTCAGATGGTCGAGGTACGACTACAGCAATAACGCAGCGGTCCTCGCACCACGACTTCAAATGATCGAGAGACACCTACTCACTGGTTCTTAACCATTCAATCGTAGTGATCTCTCGTACATTTACTTCTAGTCGTTGAGTTACGACTACTACCTGGTTCTTGACTAGAGGTGTAGCGATTCTCCCATTACCTCTACTTCAACAAAGTTGATATCAGGTACACAATATCGCCAAGCGTTTTACCCAGAGATCCCTTACCACAAAAACACCTAGCATTGAAACCTATCCTAATGTCCTTTTACACCGTCTTGACAAGGCCTCCGAGGAACCTAAGGGAACTTCGGCTAGGGACGCCCAGAGCGGATAAGGCCTTGTCGGATCCTGTAGAGACAAAAGACCATGTAAGATCTGGTCGTGTAAGAGTTCTCACCGTGCGTATTAACCAAGCCGTGTAATCGGAAATTGGGTTTTCCAACTTCACGGCTGGGGGCTAGGATAAGTGCTTATTCAACCGATGCAGGTCAAAGGTCTAAGAGCCTTATTTCCCGAGAACGATTCTCCGACGACAAGGCTGGGGGCTAGGGAGAGTGTATAACTCAAACAAATTGACTGATCGAAGTTGGTAAAAGAGTAGACGCTCATATACAAAACATTGGTATGTAAATTTAATTCATTTTTAGTTTTCCATACATATTATAACATGTCACCCTTTGAGCGTTCACTCGGGGGCTATTTCTATCTAATATTCTTTTCTAAGTATTGATTTCAGGAAAACTCTATTCGACATCGTTGAAGACTCCATGTCTCTATGGTTCTACACCAAGATCGACAAAGGCGAGTACGACAAATGTTGACAAGGCTCCGTCGCAGACTCTACGCCTACTCGATTACTCAAGAACGGTTGGTGGATCTCGACAAGGAATACGGAATGAAGAGATGGTGTACCTGTCGAGATAAAATTTCTTGACTTCAATCCAAATTCTCGATTACAGCAAGACGGGTAACTTAGTCATATGCTCTGTACTTTCTTGGTTGACTTTGATGATTGACTCAGACAAACCCTTTAGGTGCCCACACGAGGCTGATAAAGGAAGTTTAACGTTATCTCTGAACTCACCGAGAACGGTCACGTGAGCTCGATAACAGTTCCTCTAAGGTTTGCGGTTGAGAATATGAACTCGTTCATTTGCATTGAAGTCGGGGACTACTGTCAGGGTTATGGATACCACATACCTAATAGTAGTTGACTAAATCTCGGCAGGACCCACCACATACCATGTCCTATACGGAAACAACCCGCGGATATAGGAGGAGTTCCGGATAAGGAAAGACAACCAGAGTTCTACATGGAAACGACAAGGACTACTTGGATTGTATCCATATTGGTTTCCCTAGTTCTACTTGGACAAGAGGACACTTATGGGTATAAATACAAGGCCCCCTAGGAGGAGAGGGGAGACGATCAACACACACCCACCATAGAAGAGACAATCAACATACATGGAACAATAGAGGCCACAACATACAAGCCAACATACGCCAAGATAAGCCGCCGGATATCGACATCAGGGATAAGCACGGCTAGTCCCCTACGATGTCTCCGGATACTGTCAGGAGAGACATAGCGTTGTCTCTGATCTTGCCGGGCACGAACTCGAGGAGGAAGGCTACCCTGTTGTCGACTACGAGTCAGACGTTCAGACCGTCATGTCGACAACAGTTAGATAGGCTACCCCAAATATTGTACTGGTGTGATTATGATGAATAAGAGCAACGACCGGCTTCGGTCAACAGGATGTAGGGTTATTACCTGCCAATTAAGGGGTCCTAACCTGTATAAAAATCATGTCTCCGTCTCTTTTACCTCACTCTCGTATATATCCTAGTACCAACGATCTCCATCCTATACAAATACCGGAATTGCAACATCAAACGTCGACATATACAATACAAAATTTATACATACGTATATAAAGTATATACATACGTATATATAATTTTTATGTGTACCAAAAATTGACATATAAAAAGTATACATGTATACAATTTTTGCATACGTGTATACAAACCACCTATATATATACCGAGAGAAAATAACACGAATACAAACTTTATATGCGTACAAATACAAAATTTGGTATATATACGAATATAAACTTTGCATACGTACATCTTAAAAAAAGCAGAAAAAGAAAGAGAAAAAAAACCGAAAAAACCAAAACAGAAATAGAACCCAAAAAAAAGGAAGAAACAGAAAAAAAAACAAAACAGAGACCGAAATAAAAAACCTCTCTCGCGGGCGCCGTCCGCCGCCCCACCCCCGCGCGCGACACATGTCCAGTCGCCAATTAGCTTTTTCGCTCGAGTTGGGCCGTCCCGCCAGTGGCTGGGCTGCAGCTCAGCTGTGCCAGCCAGTGGGAGAGGGGTAGGACTAGGCCTCTTTGGTTGTTTGTCTTTTCTTTTTTTTTTCTCTTGTTTTTTGAGAGGATTTTTTTTCCTCTCTTCATTATTATGAGCCAATGTACTATTAACTTATACGTGTCATATGATAGATCTAAATGTGACTTTTAGTACACAAAATTAAAATTCCAAAAAAATTGTATAAAGGATGACACAATTCCAAGCAATTAAAAAATTACCAATAAATCTATTATGCAACTATGTAACAAGAGGTTACTACCCTAAGGAACATTTCAAGTATATACCAATGTCCTCATCTCATGCTACAGAATTTGACATCAAAGTAAACAAATGCCACTTTTATATATCCGTAAAATATTAGCACTACAAAAGTATAGAGAACTAAATCAAGTAAAAAAAACTATCTTAAAAAATAAAAATGGAGTAGCATCAAAATCAAATGTTAATGCAAAATAAATTAAATACATAGCAAGGTACTATTGGCACATCATGAAATCATTTGAAAAATGATCGGTCCTATCAACGATGACGTGCAATGGTAAAGCTTCTCGAGCTTTACCACTGTGTGCTACTCCAACTGCTAACCAAGCCACACCTTATCTTAAAGCTTGATCATGACATACTATCCGTTTGGATTAAAAATAACGGAAATTAAAATACTATTAAGAGGCTATATCGCTACATATTTCGCATGTACGGGTTAATCAGTAGGCGCGCCAACAGGAGCATAAATTTTCTAGTAGTATATATATTTGGTTTGCTATTCATGTGTTTGATATCAGTGAAGGAAGTTCTAGAATATTGCCAAATAAAGTATGGGCATTAGCAATGCTCTGGCTCTAATCCAAACCAATCGCATACTATTTAAGTTGCCAAATAATTGGTATGGCATATTTTGGCATCAATCCAGAAATGTTCCCAAGTCAATCTTAGATTCTCTCAAATTGTGTATATTGGTTACTAGACATAGTGCTGATTAAATAACATTCATTTTTGGATTAATAGAAAAAAAATTATGTGAAAGGTTAAATAAAAATATTAGCCTACATGTCTCTTTTATTTCTCTTTGTTCGGTTATTTCCTATTAGATCGAGGTTACAGGGGATTAATTCCACTCATTAATAGATGTGAAATTATTCTCCTCTAAATCTCCCTAATCTTTTCTTTAATATGATCAACCGAACGAAGCATTACTGTCATTTCGTAATTGCATCACTGATTGGTGCAAAAACCAAGCGGTGTGGGTTATGACTCATCTATACTACTATAAAAAGTACGAGTTCATCAAATACCTACTTTTTTTTTACCCTTAGATCTATTCATCCAATGGCTTATATCAAAAGTTGGATCACCTCTGCAATTAGCGATCTCCCACCAATCTCATACCTCGAGTAAACAGCGGTTACAGCAAAATAGCGATTGGATTAGCGCTCTTCCCCGTCCTATCCCCAAACCGCCGGGCGCACTCCTCCCCGCCTCCACCCCTGACCGTGCCTCCCCACCGCCGTTGGGCGTTCCCCACCCCGTGTCTACGCATCCCACCGGCGCCCTTCCCCCCGCATCCGTGCCTCACTACCGCCGCGCTTTCCCCCTCTGCGGGTTCCCCTCGCGCGCGTTCGCGCTTCACCACCGTCGCGCCTTCCCCGCTGCCTCCTCAATTCCTCGCCGCCACCGGTTCCCTACTCCGCCTGCAACCGCCACCATCGGAGCCGTGGATCCATCGCTGCCATGAACTCCACCTGCGATCTGGCGTGACGACAGGAGCAGAGCTGCGACTACCGGGCTTCCATGGTGCTGCTCAAGGTACGTGGGAGGGGTTCTCCTCGGCTCCTATTGCTGGTTCGGCTCATGTGCGCTTGCCGCTTGGTTCAGCTGCTGCTGCCTGCGTATTATTCTGACTGTGTATTTGGGATTTTATACAGATTATGCCAGTTGGGGATTTTATTTTAATAGGGGAACCCAGTCTAGCTCACCCACCCAACGAATTTTAGACTAGCGCCTAGAGGCCATGTTGTTAGCAATGACAGTGGCCGTTGGGGGTTAATTAGCAGTGCCAGCTTGCGGGGATCAAAGAGTACCAGCGGCAGCCTGCAACCAACAGGATGTTGCCAGAGAATGAACTGAAGCTGCAGCCAACCATGTCCTAGAAAATAGTTAGGGCCTGTTTGGCACAACTCCAGCTTCAACTCCACCTCTCCTGGAGCTGGAGCTCAGCCAAACAGTTTCAGCTCCACCAAAACTAGGAGTGGAGTTGGGTAGAGCTCTCTCAAAAAATGTACTAGAGTTGTGGAGCTGGGTTTAGCCAGCTCCACAACTCCACTCCAGACTCAACTCCTGGAGTTATATTTAGGAGTTGGAGTTGTACCAAACAGGCCCTAACTCTCTTAGCAAATGTTGTTTTGGATGGATAAATTGTGATTTATTGTTTGGTAGGGACTGCGGTGGAGTTACAAATTATGAGAATGAGCTATAAGAGAAGGGGTAAGAATGGAATATAGTAATAGGTTATCAACAACAGGTGAATTAGTGAACTTGTATACTATTGCTATCCAACCCAGTTCAATTTCATCTAGAGGGATTATTGCTTTCCAGTACATGCTTCTGATTTTTCTGTAACCAAAGTCAGCTCCTTGTTTTCCGGGGAAAAAAAAGTGAGCTCCTTGGTCAGAGAGGTAACAAACAAAATGCTCATATCCTAGGCTAGGCTCTCCACCGCCTCCACTGAGGTGCAATTCAAGTACCTTAAATTTATTTGCAAGCCCATCCTTTGTTGCCCTTCCTCCTCTTTAGTTAGTATTAGTATGAATGCCAATATCAATTTCCTTATCAGTGGTAGCACTGACTCAAAGCATGTTTTGTACGTGGAAAATGATACAACTGAGAGATAGATGAAGGAGAAGACGGCACCAGTACCTAATTTGCTGAAAGAAGCAAATCATCCGTGGGTACTTAATAACATGTGAAATATAATCTTCTTTAGACAACTTAACTTATATAATATTGGATGATTTTTTAAATCTAGGAGGAGCTACCTCCCAATTCTAGATACAAAGGCATGAAAAACTTTTGTGTATTCTCGAGAAAAAAGTCTAAGACCCTGTTTAGATGGGACTAAAACTTTTAAGTCCCTATCACATCGGATGTTTGGATACTAATTATAAATATTAAATGTAGACTATTAATAAAACTCATCCATAATCTTGAACTAATTCGCGAGACGAATCTATTGAGCCTAATCAATCCATGATTAGTCTATGTGATGCTACAGTAAACATTCTCTAATTATGGATTAATTATGCTTAAAAAATTTATCTCGCAAATTAGCTTTCATTTATGTAATTAGTTTTGTAAGTAGTCTATATTTAATACTCTAAATTAGTGTCTAAATACAGAGACTAAAGTTAAGTCCCTGGATCCAAACACCACCAAGAGGGACTATAGTAAAGAAAGTGGCGAAGTTATAGAGATTTGATTATTGTCGTACTGCATACTTCCCCTGTCATTTTAGACATCTTGCACATTGAACAGTTAACAGTGTATGATGCCTTGCTCACTAGCTTTTTTCTGAAATATGCAAATAATAGTACATTGTCAATATAAAATTCAACCTGGTATTATTATTTGATTCCAGGAGGAAATTCCAAGCTGAAAAGAGCAGAGTAGGATATTCATTCTAAAGGTGAACGCTAGCAATGTGAATCATCTGAGATTGAGAAGGTCATTACTTTTAGAAATATTTTTATAAAAGTTTGTATGCATGGATTGTTCTAGACGTTTTGTTTCGTAGATTTGTACAATTTTTACCAATAGACATTGTTAGTTACCTCACGTGCTTCTTGTTGATGCAAATTTTGTTTTTCTCCTCCCACCGCTTGGCCCAGCCCACATATGTGACTGACTGTGTGACAGTCCCTGTATATCTTTGTCATTGTTACTACTAAAGACATGTGGAGACCGTTATGGACTAAAAATACTGCATACTTTAGTTTCAGGATGAGGCCATTCTAATATTTCTGCTGCTACAAGCCCCTATAGTCCTATACTTCTATGCACCATCACTTGATACTTTGGACATCATTATAAGCAATGGTATTGCATGTAGAGTATTCTATTGATATTACTGGATATCATGCTTTCATACACATCACAAATTCAGATTTATGCAGTGATAATATTTTCCTTGAACATGTCAAGTTTAGTTCTATACACATAATTCATGATAACTGAATATGTAAACGTTTTTCCTGCAGTACAAACATGCAATTGTTTATGTACAAAGGATTTGTTTTTCAGTTTTCATTGATAGGAACCCCTGAATTGAAGAAATGGCTCTGGAGTGCTTATGTTCTTCCCCTGTTGGAGCTGGTTCTTCCTTAGGCCTGTAGCAATGGTCCACTTCATTGTCACATATTCAAACACCATGTACTCATGAGGTATGCAGTATTTTGTATACAGTTTCATCTCAGAAGAAAAAACTAAACTTTTGCATCTAAAAAAATCCGCATGCCATTTGGCTCATAATTATATTGGATAGTTTTTTGTTTGGTGCAACATTAATTTGATTTGGTAAAAAAATTTCTTAACTGAACTTCTTGCGCATCTATTATGAACTATGGAATGATTACAATTATGAAACATGTCATGTTAATTTATGGTTCTTTGCCTTGCACGTGCATTATTCTTTAACTTCTTTTGTCGTTCTATTTCTATTTTTGAATATTACCCTAGCTGGATGTAATTCGATTCAATCATCCCCTCTGTTGTAAACTCAGATGCTATGGAACTGTGACTTCCCCTCTGGTCCTGAGGCCTGATTGTTGCAGGTGAAGGTGAGCTCTGTTAGAGGAAAACACGTAAATGTTTTGGCAGACCACAAAGCTAGACCATGGATGCCATCCTGTGGTTGGGGCTTATCCTATAGGCAATTAGTTCTTGGGCTCCACTGTACTTTTGTTCTTAGGCTAATTTTCAATATCATATTCCCATGTGGCAGTAGATTATTATTACATGGTAGCTCAAACTAATGTGATGCAGTTTCTGGGTATTCCAATTTGTGCATTTCTTAATTTAATCATATATTTGACTGGAATGGGCATATATGTGACTTTGATAGCTAGATATGTAAAAAAGTTTTGAGATTTCTGGACATCTTTCATTTGTCAATGCAGTTCTATTTCTTTTCTACTATTGAAGGCAAGAAATATAATTTACCGTACCTTTTTTATCAGCTATAGTGTTTTTGTTGTTAGCCTTTGAAGCTATTGCTTTTAAAGTGCTGTAATCATCTCGAAAAATTATTATTTCAGCCAGTTGACATTGCAAGTTAATTAAGTAAATTTACATGTGGCATAAATCCTTTGTAGCTTGTTTATCCTGTTATGATAATTACCCATATTTTAGATACCATATTTGAATTGCACTGCCACAAGGATCACTGCATATCTACAATATTGTTGGTAAGAAATATATACATTGTTAATACTCTTATTTCATATACTCGTAGTAGGAGTTATGGCTTCAATCCATTTCACCTGTTTGGACTGGAGAGCATTGTAATGGACTGAGTATAGACAACATGTCTCAAGATTATTGAAATGTACAGAGTATATATAGACCACATGTCCAAAGATAATTGAAGCAAGGAACGATTTGTTTAGACAGGAGAGCACTGTAAATGTTGCTGCTCTCCAAATTTCTTCTGTAATGTATCTCTTACACTACCTCATATGTATGTATATTGCCTAAAGGGACAATTTAGGCCCATGTGTTGGATACTGCCTAACCCAACTTTGGCGATGAACATCAAGGTTCAGAGAAAAAAATGTTTTTGTTTTACAGTGATTCAGCAGGTGGTATGCGAAGTTCAGATAATTTCAGCAGGGTTTTGTTTTAATGTGTATCTGACAAATCACAACATTCAATTAGATAATTTTGATAAAATTGAGAAAAACAATATGTTCTAAGTCTGTATATAGAAAATGGTTTTATTAGACGTGTATTAAACGTGCTTGACCATTGCAAGATTTTCTTATAGTAATTTTGGCAAATTTGGAAGCTGATTGATTGACAGCTGGAGGTGTGGTTTTGTTTGCAGGTGCTCAAACCAGGCTGCTTTAGGGCTTCAACTAGCTCATCCAAGACGTCGCCTCTCACATCTACCTCAACTGAAAAATGACAAAAAAATGCTACAATTTGTAAACAGATTTGCGTACTTCAGTACCATCAGCGTGACAGATGTCACTGTGCCTTTATTCTGCCTTTTGGCTCACAACTTCATCACTATAACTGCAACCTTTTCTTGCAGAAAGATCATATTGTCACAGCAACCTGATGATGTTATTAGCAACCATCCAATTTATCAACCTAATGATGCTGTTAGTAATTATCTAATCAAACCGTAATGAAAGAAATGACCATTTGCATAAACACTAGCAAACAGTTACATGACCATGATAATTTGTAACTTGTATTTCATAATCAAATTTTCTCTTACATAGCATCAATGCGAGACTCTTTGAGTATTGTTGATTTATGCCATTTTTCTCGGAGATTTATCCCTGTCACTATGCTTCCGTTAATCATCCGATTTTAAACTGGACCAGCAAAGCAATTGTTTGCACCACCATTAACAAACAGTAGCACCATTTTGGATAATTATAAATACTAAAAAAATAACTGAATTCTCTCTGCCTAAAAAAGAGTGTGGCTTGGGGCCAACATGCAAGGCGTTAAGTGGCGGGGATGGCAATGGGCCGTAAACAATTATCGGTGATATATTATTTGATTGTTTGTTTTTTAGAAAAAGAATAATCGATTTGTTTCTCTCTATTGTTACAGTAAAGGTTAAGTTTTTTCTGTTCCATATATGTAAAGTATTTACTATTCAATATTGTTGACGTGCCTTGCACGTGCACGCTAACTAGTCAATAGCAAAAAAAAAAAAAAGAACTTGTTAACGACAAAATTTTAAATTTCTCTTAAACAAGCGGCAGGGTTTTTTTTTTTCTTGAAATGGCTAGTACTAGTAGAGAGTACTCCGAAGTTTCGGGCTGGTTCAGATTAATACCATTTCAAACCATGTTTTTTTTAAGTTGTCAAATATGTGCATCCATTTACTTTCTTGCCAAATTTTGATAATACATAAGAAATCCTACTAAAATTTTGACAATATACCAAATTTTGATGGGTCCAGATCCCCTGGAGTTGGGGCCAACTCCACCGGTGGATTTGGCCGAATCTCAACCGTCCTTTTGACTTATACGGCTGAGATTTTCTCTAATCTCTGTAACTGTGTTTCTTTCCTTTCCTAATTAAATTACTAGTACCAAAGCAGCAGACCATCGTTTCCCCTCCAGAGCCGCGATAGCTTCGTCTTTGTCATCAAACTTTAGTTCAGCTATGGTGATAAAATTGGCATATTGTTCTTCATTGCCTCAAACAGTCAAACTGAAGATTCAAGGGTATTCCACCCACCATCTCCACCTCCAACCATGGTGAAGAACATAATGCTAATGTTTATTTATATGGTTTTGTGATGGCCAGCGTTGTTTTATTGATACTATTGGTCGGAGAATAATCATGGTTATGGTGGGAAGTACTTCAAAAAAACTAAATATTTTCCTCTAAATCTATATGATTAAGATAGTTGATTAGAAGAAGAGTAGGTGCCATGATCCCAGCCGTAGAAGTCAGAAGAACGGTTAAGATTGAGCCAAATCTACCGGTGGAGTTGGCTCCAACTCCAGGGGATCTAGACCCAAATTTTGATAAGGTTTATTTTGGATACAATCTGAGCAACCCCTATATTGATTGGAGAAAAAACAACAATGTATGATATATGTAGATATTGGTTCATTCTACATTTTGGTATTACTTATTCAATGAATAATGGATCGAGCCAATCTTATGTTATCCGGGCTATTTACAGGTATATTATAATATTATAATTTTAATGGAATGTCAATATAATTGTTAAATTATATCGGCTGATATTATCTTTAAAAAAAAGTATACACGACAATTAGGACTTGCTAATTATTAATATATATAAATAATTACATAAAGAGTCAAAGATGGTATATATATTCCCAATATCAAAATTATTCATTTTCTTATTTCAAATTTAGAATTTGAAGTTGATTCCTTTTTAAATTACCTTTGAAATTATTTAATTAGTTTTTGGCAATGGTACAATAGGAAAAGAAAAAATAAAATCCAATAAATACCAGCATAAGGAAATTTTGAAAATGGTTTTTAATTATTTCAAGTTTTTGTTTTCTAATTTCAGATTAAAATGCTTTCAAGGTAAGAGGGCCTAGTGATTCCTAAATAACTGCAGTCACCAACCTCTGGTGAACTGTTCTGTAAATTACTTTGTTGTGTGTTCTTTTCTACTTCATTTAACTTTATTTTTTCTCCTTTTTCACGTGCACGTTTAATGAACTATATAAACAATACAGTTTTTACAAAAGTTTTCCGTACGGAAGTTTTTTCACATGCACGTTTAATGAACTATATAAAGAATACAGTCTTTACAAAAGCTTTCCATACGGAAGTTTTTTCTCCTATTTTCCCAACTTCTCTCTCGCTTTTCATTTTCCGCCGTGTTTTGCTCCAAAGTTTTCTTCAAATTTTCAACTTTTCCATCACATCAAAACTTTCCTACACACACAAATTTCCAACTTTTTCGTCATATCGTTCTAATTTAAACCAAACTTTCAATTTTAGTATAAACTAAACACAGCCTTCATAGGCATAGGCATGCTTTCTGAACAAATGTTTAAATGTTACGTTTCTAAAAAAAAAGAAACTTTATAAAAAGCTGCTTTTAAATAATCATATTACTATCCACCATTCCTAACCCCCCTCCACAGAACAGTGCCTCATGTACTAAATAGAACGTACTCCCTCCGTCCCAAAAAAAAAAAAAATACAAACCCTAAGTTTCCGTGTCCAACGTTTGACCGTCCGTCTTATTTGAAAAAATTATGAAAAAAATTAAAAAGATAAGTCACGCATAAAGTGTTAATCATGTTTTATCATCTAACAATAATGAAAATACTAATTATAGAAAAATTTCATATAAGACGGATAATTAAACGTTGGACACGGAAACCCAGAGTTTATCTTTTTTTTTTTTTAAGGACGGAGAGAGTATGAATTTTATAGTACTAAAATCCGATGTAAGATTATTTGTACACGATTGCTTTGAACAGAGTAAGGAGTCCAACAAAATCCTTTGGAAGCTACTACTAAACCCTAAACCCTAAACCCCTACTCTCTTCCTACTACACCATAAAATTTTTAAAAAATAAAAAAATAAAGTTAAAACCGTTGACTTTTTCTCACATATTTGACTATTTATCTTATTTAAAAAATTTACGTAATTATAATTTATTTTATTATGAGTCGTTTTATCACTCATAGTACTTTAAGTGTGATTTATATCTTATACATTTGCATAAATTTTTTGAATAAAACGAATAGTCAAACATGTGAGAAAAAATCAACGGTGTCATCTATTAAAAAACGGAGGGAGTACTAGGCTATTATATTTGAATTTTGCATAAACTCAAATATACATTGTCTCGTGTAAATTCCACATGATATACATGTTTTTCCAATGGTATTACCAAACGCCGTTTTCTATAAATTTCCGATAGACTCGTAATATTACGATACAACAAACCGTGACATCTAATTTCCAAGTTCTTTTTTTTTTCTTACTCCAATGTTCTCAATAAATCATTCATTCCAAAGGGGGAAAATAAGGAGCCCTTAAGCAACACCCATTCAAGATCTCAAATTATACCACCCATTCTCTAACCGCAGATACATATCCAGTTTGCAATCTTTGTAACGGGTCAATCAGTTCACCACAGCTGATCGAATCAACAACCATACATACCACGAGTTCGAGTAGAGATATATGAGTATATGACGACGATGATCATGATCAGGTCAGAGATAATCACATATATATATAACAGAGCACAAGAAGAAATTAAAAAGCACTCATCACTATATATTTAGCTGGAGAGATAAAAGTACTTATTATTATTACTTAATCATGCTCTCGCCTAGCTAGTAGTAGTACCCAAGCACGCAGCAGCTCAAGCTTAGTAGCTGGGGATGTCGTGGTGGTGGTGGTCGTCTGGGTGGTCGTCTTCTTCTTCGTCTCCGGCGGCGGCGGCGATCAGCGGGGGAAGGCGGCGATCTCGACGCCCTTGTTGCCGAGGGAAGGCTGGGGTGGGTCGTAGGCGCTGAAGAGGCGGTAGGAGGAGATGAGGGAGAGGAGGATGTAGCAGGCAACGGAGGCGAAGGTGATGGCCACCGACGTCCTCGCCTGCCGGCAGAATCCACCGAAGACGCCGCACGCCTCGCTCCACGTCACCTCCTTGTCGCCGTTGTACGCCAGGTACAGTAGCTCCGCCGACGCCGCCCCCGCTGCCAGGATCAGGTACGTGAACACCTGCATATATGTGATCTCATCTCAGCTTAGCATGTTCTCTCAGTTGATTTGATAATTTTTTTGGCGCACATAAAACGAGAAAGTTCATTCGCATATAATTAATTAAGGGAGAATAGAAGTTTTGCTCCAGGAACAATTTGGTCATGTGTATGGGCAAATTGGGCATTTCATCATATATTTACATTGAAAGATGACGTGGCATTGAAAGATGACATTGAAAGATGACATGGCATGCCTACATGGCAAATTTCCGATGGGCCAAAGGACTATATATATATATATATATATATATATATATATATATGTCCACATGATAAAGTTTAAAAAGTTTAAAGGCTCGCTTGGACAATTTGAAAGGTCATGGACTAAAATGATCTCAGAGCGAAACTTCATGGAGCAAAATGGCTATTGTCCCACTAATTAAGTATTAATTATTATAAAATTTAAAATGGATTTATTTGAATCTTTTAAACAACTTTTACGTAGAAACATTTTGTCAAAAAGTATTATTTAACAGTTTAAAAAACAAGCTAACGGAAAATAATAAGAAAGTTGAAGTTTGAAATTGAGAAAAATATTATGTTCGAGACGGTCCCAAAAACATGGTGGTGTATCAATGTATAATTAATTAAGTATTAGCTTAAAAATAACATAAATATATTAAATGATTTTTTAAAGTAACTTTCATATAGAAACTTTTTTTTAAAATATACCGTTTAGTATTTTAAAAACCATGCATAAGCAAGACGAGAGAGGTGAGTTAGGAAAGAGAAGAAAAGAAGTCAGCCTTAGTTAGTTCATCGTATGGATAGGTATGATATGATCCCTCAGAATCTTTTTTGCAGATGTTATCGGTCGGTTCAGTTCGTCAGTTGGGTTATATATGAACTAAAAAGGATCAGATCTTTTTTTACAGGATTTGTTGATTTCTCGGTTTGGTAAGCTAACAGATACATACGGATCCAAGGAAAGGTTCACACCGAAAACACCGTCCTACAAATACCTCAGTGAGCTCGACACAGACATAACGGAAATTCGGGAACGAAATTTCAAGAACATCTGAAATTTCAGGAATTTCCATCCTCTGATAGGATATTCTTTCGTCCGATATATTCAAAAATAAATAAATTAAGTCAATTTTACTCAAATTTAAACAAAATTTTATCGAACTTCAACTTTCCCCCTCTAAATACCCCGAGATTTCTGCTTTTTATTTCCGACGCATCGAGCTTTTTTTTTTTTTCATTCTACTACAGGAGCATGATTGCTCGAGCAAAATGAATCGAAAGGGCTGCAAATTGGAGTGAATCCTTGTTGGGAAGGCAAGAAATGGAGGAAGAAGCAGCAGTGAGGGGAAAGCAACCTGGTCGAGGAGGAAAACGACCCAGGAGCGGGACAACGTCGCCGGCCTCGGCACGGCGATGTAGAACGCCGACGCCAGCGAGTAGGCGGCGCAGAGCCCGTTCGCGTACACCAGGTACCTTGGGAAAAAGAAAAACAACAAAAAGAAATCAGATCAGAGGAGAGTGAGCCATGTCGATCCGCCGCCGCCGCAGGAGAGTTCCAGAAGCGTACTTGAAGCCGCCGAGGTCGGAGTAGGAGACGGTGCCGTACTCGTTGGTGACCGAGTTGCGGAGCATGATGGCCATGGCGGCGACGCAGAGCCCCAGCGGCGCGGCGCGGAGGAGCGTCTCGACGGGCCGCACACGCGCCGCCGCCGCCGACGAAGCCTGCAGGTCCCCGGAGGACTGCATCCCGCCGTCGACGGTGGCCGGCGCCGCCAGCACCTTCTCCTCCGCCATCTTGGACATCTCTCCTCCAAGAACCAATAAACACACTCTCTCCGGTGGATGTGGAGGAGGAGGAGAGGGAAGGCTCTAGAGCTAGGTGGAGGTGGAGGTGAGGAGGGATGGGAATGGGGGATGGAGGGGCATTTAAGGCGGTGCGGTGGTTGGAACGCGGCGCGGGCATGAATGCGGGTGCGGGAGTTAATGGCGCGCGGTGGCAGTGTCGTGTGGGCGAGTCGAGCACTCGAGCAGAGCCATGAGACGACAGACGAGACGAGCAATTGCAATGGCAATGGGGGCGCGCGCCACAACGCGGTCGGCTCGTCTCCGATCGCTAGGGTAGGAGCGTGTGCCACGTTGCCCCGGCGTACGCGCGGTACGGGGCTTGCTGCTGCGTTGTCCAGGCTCACAGTCACATCGTGGTCTGATCGTTGGTCCGTTTGTCGAACAAACGAAATTCATTTTTTTGGCGTAAGAACTATACTCCATCTTTCACAAAAGGTGCTCCTTCAAATTTCATCTGAGACTCAGTTTAGTCCTTGATGTTTCAATCTATCCGTATTAGTCCTTTAAGTTTTCATTTTAGTTCAAATGTAGCATTGAACCAACAACTCTTTTGATAAATGACACTTATACCCCTATCATTCACATATATAAGAGAAAAATTGCATGCTTGATTTTCTTATAGGTCACCATAGTAAATTATGTAAAACGAAAATAAATTATGTACTAGAAAGTATATACAGTAGCAATTGCTTAAGTTTTATGTGCACATGTTGAAATAATGGGAAACACATCTGCAATGTTGTTTATTCATCTTTGGTTTTCTATTTTCTAGTATATAGTTGTATATACAAATTAAGTGTAAAAGGGACATTTTCTAATAGAAATATTAACTAGAAATAGCCATATGGCATATTAAGTGGGCCTAAGGTGATTTCAAGCCAAAACAAATATTTAGAGGAGCTATGTGGACAAAATAAAATGTGAAGGACCAAATTGAGCCTTCGGTAAAACTTGAGGGATTAAATTAGCTATTCAGCCATAAATTTATTATTTTACTTATCTATCTACTAGTACTCCCTCAGTCACAATTGCACGTTGAATACAAAGTGTTGTCCGGCTCACAGTCACAGCGTGGTCTGATCGTTGGTCCGTTTGTCAAACAAACGAAATTCATTTTTGGGTGTAAGAACTATACTCCATCTTTCACAAAATAAATTTATTATTTTACTTATCTACTAGTACTCCCTCCGTCACAAAATATGACTATTTAGGATTGCACGTTGAATACAAAGTGTTGTCCAGATTTATTGGACTAGGATATATCCCATTCAATCATAGGTTGTTATATTTTGGGACGGATGTAGTATATATAAATAAAAAAACTAAAATACTATCCCTTTATCAAATCCCTAATGTAACTATTTTTATTATTCAGTAGTTTATCTATTCTTAATATATTTATCATCTATTTTTATAATCTCCAAAGTAATAATGGCTGAAAAAATGAACTTATCCGAGGATAAATGGAGGGGGGAAATGAAAAATTTATTCATTCTGAGACTTATGAAGTACTACTCGGACCATATCAAATACAAGCATTTTTCTTTAACTACAAAGGTAGCCCATGTGAAGCACGGCCATGCATCGTAGGCTACGCTTGACAAGACATATAAATGACATCTAAAGTACGAGTTCTCCATAAAATTTCTTGAATGGTGTTGCTTTGATAAACATTTATGCTATTTGTTAGATTTATACTATGTTGCTTTGATAAACATTTATGCTATTTCTTAGATTTATACTATATAATATCTAAATCATCCCTATTAGCAATTATATCTTCTTTAACATCAGTAAATAATGTAGATATTTTTTTGGCGAGAAAGGTAAACTTAGGCTGCATTCATTTCTCCTCTTTTCCCACTTCCACCCTTTCGTTTTCCATACGCACGCTTCCTGAACTTATTTTTAAAAATACATTTAGAAAGTTGCTTTAGAAAATCATATTAATTAATATTTTAAGTCTTTTGTAGCTCATACTTCATTAATCATACGTTAACAAGGTACCTCATTTTTTTGTCACGCTTGTTTTGTGACAAATTTTTAGCCACGTCGTGTCGCATATTGGAGGAAAAAGCGAATAATGTATTTGCAAAAAAAAATTGTGAATAAAACTTTTATGTACTCTCCTGCGTATTCGAGAAAAAAAACTTTTATATACTTATTCTTAACGATCTAAAAGCACAGGCTGAAAAATAAACTACAATGAAAAACCCCGAAATCAGCTCCAAATTTAAAGTTGAAAATTCAAAATTTTGGCTGATAAGTATAAGCATAAGCGAAAATATGAGGTTGTTCGAGTGAAGTATTGTTGATGGTCGTTATTGATCAGTTTCGACAGTCAATATTACCAAAATAGAGGTGAACTAGCCATGCTTGCAATGCATAAACATGTTAGAATAATAATATTCCACTAGTATTAGGTATACTAACCTTTTGCAGAGAATGACAATAAAATGAAGGAGAATTGATGTCAACGCAAACGATAAATCAATCGGACGATGTCGAGCACCAGACTTATGTATGAATGGGCCAAGAACTCAGAGTTGACGAGTTGACACGATGAATTGGGCCAAAATTCACAAGTCTGCGGAGAAGAGAAGTCCAGGAGGCCACCAGCCAAATTGTGGGCTGGTTGGGCCGGCCCCAGGTTCGGCCGAACCCATTTCTCCACCGTTGGATGTGGGGTTTGGCAGAGACGCTCCAGATCTTCTCCTGATGGCGGTTGCGGGGTACTTCGGACATTTCCCCTTCCACAACCGTCATAACTACCTCTATATAAGGAGCTCACTCTCTTCACTTCAACACACACCTCAAGCAATAGCTTTTTCATTTCTCTCAAGTTTAGTTTAGTAGTATCTAGCTGGTGGAATAGGAATAGAGTAAAAATCAGGAGTCCGGAAGCCTTCGGAAGAGTTCGGGTATGGCTCTAATAGCTTCTCTCTTCTCTTTTGTAAGCTTTGTACTTTTATTAGAATACTCTTCTTTATACATTTATGGTATTGGAATACTTTCTGAGTATATGAATGCCTACTTTACATTATGTTTATGTTATACTGAATATACGGCTAGCTTATCTGGGAGATGCTTTGGTGCGGTATAATGTTTGCTTATGCAATTACTCTATGTCACGACGATGATATTAGAGTAGTATCTGGTAGTTTAGACGTGGTGTCTAGATTACGGGATATCATTATTTGGGGTTATATATTGCGAATGAGAGGTGGGCCGCTGATTGTGACAGCTCAGTACGGGTATTCCTCCTCGCTGGTATATAATCCTAAGTTAATTTCCTGGGGAGGGTATTCCTCCGTATTTAGCCCCGGTTGTATGGTCATAGCGGGTTGTCGTAAGGAACTCGGCAGTCAGTGGTGGCTTCTCGAAGTACCAGGAGGGCATCGGATAGAGAGTATTAGCTAGTATATCAGTTAGCTAGAATGTATGTATACTATGTATATTAGAAGTATAGGAATAGATTTTCTTTCTCTTTTCTATCCACTTAACTTAGATGATATATTATGAGAATGAGTAGTTAATGCTTGTGTGTCACTCTACCCTTGGATTATCTTAACCCCTGCTTAGAATATGATTATCACAAGTAATATATAAATTATTAGTCAAGCTGTCTCTACATGATCTTCCCACGGTGTCGGTGATATGGGACCGGGAGTATCATGACCAGAGGCTTGAGGCAGACGCAATCGCCCACGTGGCCTAGCACCTTCGGGGACGTCGGGCCCGAGGGTGAGGTGTCCGCCCTCCTCCTGATTTCCCCCGAGGGGGGGTCGGGTTGCGCTTGCCCCGGCCCCGAGGGCCGAGGCACCCCGACCCCTTAAGGAAGTCTGCGCCACATATATGGGATAAGTGAGCACAGCTGTGCTCACCTAACAGCATTTATTGCAGTCTGGTCAAGCGTGTCACGCTGCATGCAACGCAGTACAGCGCGTTCCTTTATCCGGTCTGTGACCAGTCACAGACCGGTCAGATCACGGGTTAGGTGGCGACTGGCGGTCTGACGCACGCCTTGCCCCATCCCGTCAAGACGAAAGCCTCTAGGCACTCGTCTCAAGCCGGAGCTAGCGTGTTATCTCTTAGAGATGGCACGTTAGCCCTGGTCAGATTTATACCAGGCTTCATCCTAACCATTACAGGCAAGGTGTTACACGAAGAAGGGCAAACATGCACGTTGTTAAGCTGACGCGTGGTGGACAAGAATGACCAGTCTGGCACTGGTCGCGTCATCGACAGACAGCCACGGTCCCGCGTCATCTCTGTCTTCGGGGGAGGTGGGGGTAGGTGTGGGCTGTCCCATCAGAAGGGCTCCCGGATGGAAACCGTACCGATCTCCGCCCATTAAAGAGAAAGGTGCATGTGGTATCCCCTTGAGATATAAAAGGAGGACCTTGCCCATTTAGAGAGGGGACTTTTTCCTTTTTGGAAGGCTGAGGGGAAAGGAAGTTAATCTTTTGTAACTTGTCCATACACAAATCCACAAAAACACAGGAGTAGGGTATTACGCTTCGCAGCGGCCCGAACCTGTATACATCGCCGTGTCTCGTGTGTCTTGCGGGCGGGTGATCTTTCCACATACAGAGAGAGAGAGAGAGCTTGGGATTGCACCCTAAGCCCCTGGTCGAACCGGCAAAGGGGGGCTTGCGCAGTCTCCCGGTGAGGGGCCACGAGCTCCGTCATCTGGCGCGCCAGGTAGGGGGCTCAGTGTGTGTTTTCTGAGCTCTCATACTCTTCCGTGTGCGCCAAGTTTCCCTTGTTCTGCCTAATGGCCGAGCAAGCAAAGGCGCACGACCTCTCTCCGAGTGTGAGCGGCGACGACGGGGAGCCAAACCCGCGCCGTCGAGCTCGTACTCCCCCACCTCCTCCACGCCAAAGTCCCAAGCGGGGGGAGGCGCTCGAGAGAGTCGAAAAATCCGCAGCATCGCCAGTCGCGGGTGGTGCAGGAGAACGGCGAGATGGGGAGCGTCGCCTCCTCGTCTACGGCGACGGCAGCACGCCTCAAGGCGCGCTTCAGGCTGTTGGCGCGCTCCTACGTCACCCGCCTGTCGTCCCTGACCCGGAGTCTCCAGCCCAGCGATGGCTGGACGA